TATTAGAAAATGAAAAATAAACAATCAGCACATATGACTGGAGCCCTCCTAAGCATTTTGTCCATAGTCATGTCTTTAGTTTGTTCTGACTCTCGTCTGGTCTTAACAAAGGAGATGTTGAGGAGACTTGATGCAAGTGTTCAGAATTTTTAAAGGCATTGACGAAGAGAACCTGATGGGACGTTTTCAATATTTACAGTGAAACACAAACTAGAAGACATAAGTAGAACCTAAGGAGAAGGGTGTTTCAGACTGAGAAAAGGAACCCTTTATTCCAAGGGGCAAGGGAGCCTAGACCCATGATGTTGAAACTGATACCCTGGTTTCATTCAAGAAGCCACTGGATGAGATCCAGGCATTAATCATTTACTTCCAATCAAATGAGCTAAATGACCTGAATGGCTTCCTCTTGTTTGTAACCTTTCTGGTGTTCCTATTACCAGGACAGTTAATACACAGTTAATATAGTCATACAGTATCTCATTTAAAAAAGTTGCTTTCAAACATCTTCCTCACAGAAACTATATTCAATTGGGCAAAATGATTTTTATTGAAAAATGATCCCATATGAATTCAGCTTCTGATATAAGGCTTAGAGGACCTCTGCTTATGGAATATTCATACCTGAATCTGCTGGCTGGTATGTTCCGGATGAAGCCTTTGTGATAATAGTCATGACAGTCTGCTGGATGCACTTAAGAACTGCATCATGATGAATAGATTGCTGCATGACACATGTATTGTAGAGAGCGTCTACAATCTCTGTCAAGGTAGTGCAGGGTGAAGGAGTCTGGATCTGTAATGCCAAACGGGGCTATAAAAAAGGCAATGAATTGTAATTACACTACCATTAATGTAGGAGGAACGTCATAAAATTAAAATGATGATTTCAGGTGAATATTATTAATAGAGCTAAATTCAAATGACTGTTTTTCTGGTAATCCTTCAGGGAATGTCATAAAACAGAAGCACACTAACAAATGAATTTTAAGAAATGGCCAACACGAATTTAGAAAGCAAAGGTCTTGTTTAACTTGCTAGAATGCCTTGACTGAGTAACAAGAAGATTTTATAACTCTGAACCCTGTATGTCTATATTGCTAGAGTTTGCACATGGATGGGGAACTGGTTATCAAAAGGTTTTGAAACAAAACGTAGATTGGACTTGCACTTGGCAAAATAAATTTAAAGTTCATAAAGACAAGTTATCTGCATAGGAAATAGGAATGTATATAATGCATATAATATTATTTAGTTGATGCTAAGCTACAGAATGTTATGCATGGAAGGGATCTGTGCGTTAGTGTGGGTTCTGTTTCCTTGCCAAGAATTACAAAAAGCTTAATGTGAGAAACCGTAAAGCAAATAATTCTTATATATACTGTATAATATAAAATATGGACTTTAAAGGGAAGTGGTGTTCATGCTTGATAATACACTATTGTGACATAGAATGTCAGTTTCTGAATATTGTGTTCAAGTAAGAAGTATGATTCCTACTCTCTGGTGATTGCCATATACAGTACAGACATATTAAAGGAGTCAAATCTCTTCAGTTTAGAACAAACTAAACTAAAGTTTTAGTTTTGGGAAGTCAGGCCTTGGGAACTACTTCATCCTCAGTATTTAAACAGGGATATGGAGTCCTAATTGCAAACTAAAAAGGTATCAATTTAGGGTAGATGAGTAAATGTTTTTTCTACAGAGAACTGAGGGTCTCTGGAACGGGCATTCCAGTCATGCGATTCAGGCACAAACTGCGGGCATGTTCTAGAAATGTCTGGATAAATGATTAGAATTATTCAAATGTAAAATTACCAAATGAGCAAAACAAACTGAATGTCCTCCTGTCTTTTTCAGCTTTTCTTATCTTCCTAAACTGTAATTCTACCTTGATGAATGTAGCCTAAGGCATTATTAAAGAATGTTGGGAAACTAGGTTGAAATGCAAGATAATTGTTTAATTAAGTTTTCATTTTATCAGCATACCTCTTAAAAGGAATAAAAATGTCAAAGAAATTAAGCTTAAGCCACATAACCATACTAAACAAGGTGTGCAAGAAGAGAAACAGCTTTATAAAAGTAGGTGTTTAGGAGGTTATAATCCTAAAAACTGTATAATTGGAGCTCATGGTAAATTTGTAATTCAAGGGCTGATCCACATCATCTGTAGCTTGTGTTTAGGTTGAGAAGAATTAAATCAGGGGTTTTAGGAATAGTTCAGTGCAGCCAAATGTATGCCTTCCAAAACCTTTCGGTTGGCAGAGAGAAAATCAACAGTAGGTTTGATGTCAGTGTGACATCTTGGCACGTGGCTTGTGAGGCATGAGCACATGAGAAATCGCAGTGGACCACAACAGTATCATTCTGGGAGACTTCAACAAAACAGTTTACCATTTACAACACAAAGACTTCTAAATTAACCCAACACCATCTGCCACCATGAGTTTATATACCAAAGTAGAATATCTTAACCCCTTGTAAACGTGTAAACATCAGCCCTTCAATCAATCAATTCAAATCAAATCAGAGTTTATCAGATGCACAACAATACAGCGTGCAAGCAGTAGTTGCTGGCAATAAAATGTCTTTTCTGCGAGCTCACAAAAATCACAAAATTAAGGTTATGAAAATAAGGTTACATGATAATAGATAATAATGTAATAGAAATTTTAAAAAACTCAAAATGAATAGAGCTGCTATGTGTCCATAGTGAATGCAATATATTATGTCCAAGTAGTGCAGTTATGCTGAATACATTGAAAACTGTATGTCCATGTAGCCATTACAGGTGATTTGCTAACGGAGCTGCAGGTTGGCTGTTTAGCAGTCTTATTGCCTGGAGGTAGAAGCTGTTCCGGAATCTATTGGACTTTGACCGAATGCTTCAGTACCGTTTACCAGACGGTAGGAGAGAAAACAGTTTGTGACTGGGATGACTGGGGTCCTTGAAGAATGTACCTGGCCTTCTTAAGACATCTAGCTGAGCAGATGAGCTGTAATGAGCTGCGCTGACTTCACCCTCTGCAGTACTTTGTGATCCTGGGCGGAGCAGCTCCCATACCAGGCAGTGATGCAGCCAGTCAGGAAGCTCTCAATAGTGCACCTGTAGAAATTGGCCTTGATATGTGGCATGCCAAACGTCTTTAGCCTACGGAGAAAGAATAGGCACTGCCGTGCTGTTTTGACCACGGTGTTGGTGTGGTTGGTCCAGATTAAGTCACTGAGATGTTAACTCCAAGGAACTTAAAACTGCTGACCCTCTCTACTCTCTACTCTCTACTATATCTCTGCAGTCCCATTGATATAGATAGGTGTGATCTCCTCCCCGGTGTTTCCTATAGTCCGCAATCATCTCCTTAGTCTTACTGATGTTCAGAGGGAGGTTGTTCTCTTGCCACCATGATACCATGATGCCTGTATGCAGACTCTTCACCATCTGTGATCAGGCCAATGACTGTTGTACCGTCCGCAAACTTAATGATGGAGTTTGAGTTATGCCTGGTGACACAATCATGGGTAAATAAGGAGTAGAGGACAGGGCTGAGCACACAGCCTTGGGGGGCTCCAGTGTTTAGAGTCAGGGTAGAGGATATGTTGGTGCCAACATTCACCACCTGCGGACGTTACATCATGAAGTCCAGGATCCAATTACAGAGGGAGGTGTTCAGTCCCAGGTCCTGGAGCTTGATGACAAGGACAGGAGGGCACTATGGTATTGAATGTTGAGCTGTAATCAATAAACAGGATTCTCACATATGTTCCTTTCTTATCCGGGTGTGAGAGGGCAGTATGGGGGGCAGTGGCAATAGCATCTTCTGTTGACCTGTTCTTGCAATTTGCAAATTGCAGTGGTCTAGGGTGTCAGGCAGTGAGGAGGTGATGTATGCTTAGACCAACCGCTCGAAGCACTTCATGATAACTGATGTGAGTGCAACAGGGCGGTAGTCATTCAGGCAGCTGACTCTGGGTTTCTTAGGAACAGGGACAATGGTGGTTTTCTTAAAGCAGGAAGGAACTATAGACTGAGCTAGAGAGAGATTGAATATGTCCGAGAAGACATCTGCCAGCTGGTCTGCGCATGCCATCAGAACACGGCCAGGGATAACATCAGGGCCAGGAGCCTCGCATGGATTGGTCTTTTTAAAAACTTTGCACACATCCGCTCTGGATATGATCAGTGGGTTTCCGTCTTGGATTTCTGGAATCTTCCTGACTGGATTTGCGTTACACCGGTGCTTCCGCCCCCTCGGTCGGGGCGTCGTCTCTTACGCTCGATGCAGCTCCGCCCACTCCTGCATTGTTCCCACTGTGTTTAAATTGCTGTCTCTTACAATAAAAAAAGTTGCTTCAACCCAAATGCAGACCAAATATGACATTCACCAGAACGTGAATTACAAGGTTACAAGTGTTCCAGTTTCACAAGACGCATGACTACAGGTTTCTCTAAGCCCTATTGGTCTGAGTGTCAGGTTGGGTTTCCTTGCCTCCCACACTACAGCAACACAAATGCCCTGTGAGCATTGTTGTTGGGGAGATCTGTGTCCCTCCTTCAGCCTGTCTGCTGTGTGTACTGCCGGACTTCCACTGGGAGGAGTGGTTGTTGGCTATCATCGACCACATTTTCATCAGAAAAGCATGCCAGGCTCTCATCCCTCTTAAGGTCATGGAGTTGAGTGAAACTTTCAACTAAAGGGATATATAAAAGAAAATTTGTTGTTTAGTTATTCTTAGAAAAAGGAGAATAAATGCAGAGCAGTCACCCTGTGCTCTCCTTTGGAAAATTATGGTTTTCACTTAAAACCGTAAAAGTTATCACATTTGAATTACTTCTGACACACCACATGTGCCGAACACAAAAACTTTAAACTTGAGGTGACTGGAAGTGTTCTTGCAGTATTGCCTGAAATAATTACTCCAATGAACAGAGAAATTATCTATTTAGAAAATGGACTCCTTCCAGGTTACTTTTAATATGAACTTTTTTTGTGTTTCAACAGATTGAATGCATGGTTGCTGCAGAAATTATGCAAAGGTACAGAACGTTACAGTTTGAAAGGGGTAAGTAACACTAATGCAGTCAATTAGAGAGAATCCTTGTATGGCTGAGTAATAAGCAGTTAATGTGGAAGAAAGTAGCTCATGCAATTCCCATATGGTACTGTCTTTGTCTATATTGACTTTACTTATTCATATAATGAGATTTAGAAAGGAATCCAGGGCAACAAGCTCTGATAACCTGCAAACCAGTCTTTGTCATTGCAAGCTTATTCTGGATCCATAAATCCCATAAAGACTTTTGTTTGTCTCTGTTTCATAAAAAAGAAAAAAAAGTTGCCTACTTATTTTGAAACTAACACATGCTCTTCTGCCATTATTTAAGTTTTAATTCTAATATGTGAATTGTTTTGTCTGAGGATTAGTGTAATACATGCTCTACAGTTTGTAAAAGCTTTTCTAGGTCGCAAGATTACTTGATGAGACTTATCTGCAAATAGTGTGAAAAGTGTTTCATTAATTAGGATAAGGGAGTGTTTAAATATTTGACAATTGCTCTCAACATTTGTTCATGGATTATAATTACTCCATGTATCAAAATGTAAACATCACTGCTCTTTTTAAATGTTTTTTTTTCCTCTAGAAAATGTAAAAAAAGTGTTTTTAAATAATTCTATGGGGGATAAGTGTGCCTAATTGTAAAATACAAAACAACATACATAGGTGTAGGAGAGAGCTTTTTTAAACACTAGTTAAAAAATATATATATCAAATTTCTGAGTATCTGAATGTTTTTAGAGTGGGAACAGGCTTGCTGTTTGTACAACACATCATATGATTTTCTGGACTTTGACCAAGATTAAAATAGAAGATGATGCAAACCAGCAGTAGATCTTTAGAGCACAGCTGTAAGCGTTTTGAGACGTAATCAAATCTTTTTTTTTAATTTGATACTTTGGATTTAATTTATTGCGTTAAAATTTAAACGGATACATCTGGCAAACAAACGTGAGCAGAAATGTCTCTTTTCCATTAGGACTGCTTTCAGGTTTTGGTAAATTCACCTTTATAGACTGTTTAAACATATAGCATATGACACCTGCATAGAGCTAAATACATTCTGCATGCGTTGGAGGAACATTTACATGCAAACAAAAAAGAATGTTGAAATGGATTAATATGCATACGCTTCTTGAACCCCTATAGCATTGAAGGAGAATTTCCAAATTAAGGCATCCTAAAGGTGTTTTTACTTTCCAAAAAAAAGACTCCTCGTCACACCACTCGTCCTCTTGCCTTGAGATGGTTCCATCAAAGCAGTGTCAAGTTATATGTGGATTGTCATTGCTGGAGAGAACAAGAATGACCATGATCTGAATTCTTCAGTTTGAAGACGTGCCCTCGCCCTGTCGTCTCAGTTTTGCTAAGCCAACATTGCAAAGACAGAACATGACAGATGCTGAAAAGCTGTTTTGCCTTCATACGCTGTGACCTAGAGATCAGCTTCATTTGCAGATTCACTCTGTTTGGCATGTTGTGTAATTATCAGGCAATTTGCATACTTTCAATGGCAGGAACAAATGACTAAGTAAAATATAGCATATCTTCTTTAAGCATGTTTCAGAAACAGTCTTAAAGTTTGGGTACCCTTTTCCTACTGCATCATGTACCAATGCAAAAATACTTTGTGTTAGTATGAAATAAAAACAGCAGATTATATTAATGGTGTTCTTTGTTGGGTTCCATACTTAAATAAAATGTCATTTTAAATAATTAATGTAAAAAATACTGGATATCTGTGTATACCTTCTCATTTAATGTGATGGACAGTACCACACTGCATATAAGAAGGATCACTCAGATTTAAATGTAAAATGTTTACTGTATTCGGTTTATGGATAGTTTAAAATGAATACTACATTTATAAAAGCCTTACCAAAATGTTTTTTTTTTCTTTAGTCAGATGTGGGACAGGTTTGAAAGTTTCAGGTCACCAGTTTCTTCGGTCCTGTGTTGTATGGCTTTGTATTAGAACTTGATAGTGGTCAAATTATTGACTCCAGTAGCCAGTAGTTTGTTTTTTCATGAGCTTGATTTGCACTGTAATTAGGTGTCACTGAAAGTAAGCATAAAAGACCTAATGCGTGCTTCTGCTCAAGTACAGAAACTGAGTGGCAAATGTATGACATAACAGGACTTCCTTAAGTCCTTAAGTTATATTCCTTAAATATAAAATCAGTGGCAAATACCTATACACTGTGCTTTTTTTTGCTGAAAAAAAAAGAAACTTTTGTGATTTTTGTATTTTGGTTTTCTGTTCTATGATCATCATAATGAGACAGCACCTTTATCTTAAAGAAGTATAAGTGGAATGCAGCACACAAACTCTAATCAAGTATTATACCCAGTATTCAGTAAAATAATGCTGATTTAAGAACCATGATGATTTGTATGGATATTGAGGAGGATATGCTTATATCCTCTTCCTGACAGTATCTGAAAGTGTTGAAGTTTAAAATAAGTAATTCCCTAAGACGATTGTTTTAAGCCATCCCATACATCACTTTTAATATATTTATATTACCATTATAAATTATAATTTACCATTATAATATGATATTAATGTCATATACTGTTAAATAGTAACACAATTTATAAATACATGTATGCTGAACTGACAGATCTTGCCAAACAAACTTGACATATGTTGCATGTGATGGATCATGTGACTAGAGAGCTGGAACAATGCAACCTGGTCAGAGAGACTGGCCACACTTGAGCTGAATGAATCCGTTAGGATTGTCTGGTCTGAAGTGAAATCATCTTCTTGGTTTATCTTAATCTAGGTGCCTGCAATGTTCTTGTTCTATGACTTGAGTGAGGCTGATTAAAAAAGGTGAAATGTATGGCAAATATTTGCACAGAATAGCAGGTTTTCCATTCCACCCTGAGGTGTTTTCTATCACTCAAATACTGAAATTAGCATGAATACTGAAATAAACATATAGAGACCATACTTTTTTTTAAAAAAAAGACAGGATTCCAGATGTCTTAGGAAACTTGTTTTTAATACTGTTTTGTTATTTGGTCAAAATGTTCATGTACAGTTTCTTATACTGCACAACTGCTCAAGGTCATGAATTTTTCAGCGTTTTAGATGTGTTTTACGTACACCAATTCAGTTTGATTCTTTAAGCCTCAAGACTTAGTATTAAAAGGTATGCAGCTCACAGGCACCTGAGACAGCACATTTTTGCCGCTATTTTGCTTATTTTTACTACATTGATGTCGCTCAATACTCAGCAGCTGCCCTGTGATTTGATCTGGTAATAAGACCGTATGCGTTTTCTGCCACAGAGGTGCTGTTGGATCCATGTCGGACGTGGTGCCCTTCCTCTTCCTGCCAGGCAGTGTGCCAGCTGAAGGAGACGGAGACGCCCCAACTGGTGCAGTGTGCCGCCTGCAGCCTAGAGTTCTGCTCTGCTTGTAAAGCCAGCTGGCACCCTGGGCAGATGTGCCAGGAACACCTGCCCATCCCATCATTTCTTCCAGGGGAGACCAGGTGTGACACTTACTGTATAACTCGCCCTGTTCACTGTTGGCTTGCATATACTATATACTCAAACTTTTTGGACCAAATACCAACCCTGATCAAACCAAAGCATCCAAGCACCACCTACAAGTCATCTTCTCGTAGGAACCACAGGAAATCTCAATGACCAACATGAGTGCGCATGCACACACACTCTCACACACATACAATAAAATTACCACTGAGCACTTAGATAATTTGGATCGTACCACCTTGTAGCCGTTTTCCGACGCTTGCTAATGCTAGCAGTGCTGTCTGTGTCAGGTTCAGCAGCAGAGCTAGAGACGGTGGCCGATAGGGTTACCATGCATCCGAATGTTCCTGGACGTGTGCTCTATTTTGGTCCTTATATCTCCATCCAGGGGGAATTTTCAAACATCCAAAAATGTCCGGGATTTCGACCACTTTATTTTTACCCTGAAAAAAATAACAAAAGTTTTAAAGATAGTAGATGAGTAGGTGAGAAAGAGAGCGAAATTTATTAGCTTCTCTAGTTCACTTTGTGACCTATGTCTTCGTTCAGTTTTCCTCCTGTACAAATTGTATGATTAACTATTGATAGTTACATAAATTATGACCATATGAGAATTTTCACAAATTGTGTAGAGTTGAAACAACAGTCCATATTAGTGCAGGCCCATCAGTCCTGTGCTGTAGTACTTCTTAACAGGTAAAACTAGCTTTAACTCAGTGAATTCCTACATACAGCCCGGTAGCTTTCAACAAACGTTCGCCAAATCGAGCAAATTTAGTTTTTTTCTCCAAAACATTGCATCAAACTTCCCAGCATTAGTGAGGTGGGTTTTTACTTTTGTTTCTTCATGGGTTCATCTTTCAGTTCCTTCTACAAGAATGATGAAGATGATGCACCTATCAAGAGGTGTCCAAAATGTAAAGTCTACATTGAACGGGATGAAGGCTGTGCCCAGATGATGTGCAAAAACTGCAAACATGCTTTCTGCTGGTACTGTCTTGAATCTCTGGATGTGAGTATAAATGTCTCCACAAATTGGGCTGTGAACACTAAATGTTCCCAATTCAACCAAAGAAATTTTGCTTTAATACTTAAATATGTAAATTATATATATATTATAGAGTATTCAGTATTCCTTTTATAGAATTGTGTAAGGCAACCCGTGGACTGTCATCAGACATTCCCTTTTGGTCTTGTTCCTATTTGTCTGTCCTATAGGCTACAAATCAGATTTAGTATTAATGGAGCTTTTTGCACTGCAGGATGACTTCCTTTTGATACATTATGACAAAGGACCTTGCCGTAACAAACTTGGCCACTCCAGAGCATCTGTAATCTGGCACAGAACGCAAGTAGGTGCATAAATTGCTTAATTATTTCAAATGGGTTTGAAGTGCTTTGCTTTGTGTTAACATTATTACACTTTCATGCAGTGGAAGTTTTCTTTTTGCTCTTGACTTTCAAATTTTTACATCTTGATCGAAGTTAGTGGTCCTGTCTGTGTTAAGGACGAGTTAACCAGGTGTCCATTAATGTTGTAAAAAGCAAAAACGATCATTAATGTTAGGATAGTTTTGCAAGAGAAAATTTGGCTGTTACATTATAAGCAGAATTACACTTTCTATCCAAAAAAGCATACTGCATTATTGAGTATATTGATAGTTATAGTTTCAGACAATGGAGTGTTAGTTAAGAATAACTTCATAACCATTGTAGTAGTCTAGGTAAGCTTGTGATGGTTAGCATTGGCTGATAAAAAATAAAACATGTTATGTAATGAACATCTTGAGGATTTATTTTAATCTCTTCCCAGTTTTTACTCATGAGATTAAGTCATGCCACACCACTAATCTCAGCAATCATTAGGTGATCCCCATTGGAATGGTGGTTAATTATACAATTAGAAACTAATTGCAATGTATTTATTGGAGCAAATCCGTTTGCTTACACAATTCAAGCATAAGCATAATTAAAAAGGATGTTCAGACAACATCACAAACTTGTTTTTGAGTGAACTACAACATTCTCAGTGTCCTCAAAGGCACTGGCAGATTCAGTCCAGTCGATCTCTTCAAAATGAACAGTGAACACAAACCAAGAGACATGAGAGGAAAGTGTGTGGAAGGACATTTAAATTGTGAATGGGAGACGCTCCACCCAGAGTGTTGTGGGAGTATGGAGCAAGCTATGCACCAATATCCTTGAAAATCATACCCTGGTTTCCTTCAGGTAACACGATGAAATGATTTGGTTCAATTACCTACTAACTGCCAAAGGGCCCAGATAGGCCAAATGGCCTCCTTGAGTTTGTAACCTTTCTTATTTTAACATTGTGCACCAGATGTAGAGTATACTGATGGATATTTATTTTGCCGTTACATTTTTATCAATTAGACCACACTCCACAGAAAACATATTCTACCATTTAAAATAACAAAAGCACCCATAATAAAAGGGTGAGATTGACTCGGATGGGGGGGGGGTCGTCCTCTGTATAAAATGTGAAGGAAAATAAAACCAATAAAACTAAATGCCAACAATGCAGACGTTTTCTGACCAGCAAATGCTTGAATTAATATTTCCCTTGAGAAAGTTGGCTATCCAAAAATATGTGCATTTCTCAGAATATGTTCTAAATGAGTCATCTCAGGAGTTTAGTTCTGAGTTTTAGGTGCAGACTGTTGATTTACACAAAAAACAAAACAAAATGAAGGCACTGATAAAAATAGGGCTGCATGGTGGCACAGTTTTTAGCATTGCTGCTTCACAGTACTGGGGCCCTGGGTTCAATTCCAGATGTTGGGTGCTGTTTGTATATTCTCCCACAGTCCAAAGACATACTGGTAGGTTAAGTGGCTTCTGGTAAAATAGGCCCTGGTGTGAGTGTTTGTGTCTGCCTTGTAATGGATCAGCATCCCACCTGGGGTCTACTTACCGTACTTGTGTCTGTAGCTTGCTGGGATAGGCTCCGGCTCCGCTGGGACCCTGAATTGGAAGAAGTGATTAGAAAATGGGTAGATGAAAAACATATTTTGCATTATATATCCTGCCAGGACCCTGTGCATGGCCTTAACACTGCACTCTCAAGCAGCTGTTCATAGGACTTTATTAACTCTATCCAATAAACACCATTAATGTCCACTTTAGATAGTCTAAGCTAAATACCGGATAAACGTGGTGCTTCACAATTTGAACGATTTGAATTGAACAATAATTTCTCGTCCTGGTGTATTCTAATATATTTTTGTCAGATTTAATGGAATCTTTGGAGAACTCCACTAATGGTGAAACATTGGTTTCCCAGTGGGACAGGATGAGTCATATAAGACATCTTTTTAGCTTTTGTGTTTCTTCAGCATTATTGCTGCTGACACTAAGTGGCTTCTCTATCACTTGCAGTATGCAGCACATTTCTGTCTTTGAATGAATAATTAAAGATCTATGTTAGAGTGCTCTTTTATCCCTTCCAGTTAGTGATGACGTCTGTGGTCTAGTGTTAATCCCAACTACCTTGTTCTGAAAGTTAAGATCTGGTGTCCAGTATTTGTTTTCATTTTCTAACTTCCTACTCTAATCCAGAGTTGAAGGGGAGCCAGATCCTATCCTAGCAAGTAATGGGCACAAGGCAGGATGCAATCCAGATGATACTCCAGTCCACACAAACAGACGTGCACTCACTCATACCAATTCCATGTTTCCCAGAAACCTATTCACTTACTAGTATAACTTTGGACTGTGGGAGGAAACCAGAGCACCAAGAGAAAACTTAAGCAAACATGAGAAGAGCAGACAAACTCCACACAGAGGGCACCCCAGCTCCGAAATTAGACCCGGGGCTCCAGCACTGCAAGGCAGCAATCATAACCACTGCGCCACCTTTCTTTAAATTATATTATTCTTATCCGTTATTCGTTTCACATATATTTCCAGTTCAGGGAAAATTAGTTTGGTGTGTAGATTTTGCTTCATTAATCTCATGAAACTGACCAACTGACCATCTTGATCATCTATGGAGCATGTTTGATTGTGTATTGTTACATCAAAAATATTTATATGTACAGTAGGTAGGTGTTGTGTCTGCCAGTAACCCCAGCGGGTTGTAAATAAAGCTGTCGATAGATCAAAATATATACTTTTTTGTAAACAAAAAAAAACTGCAAAAAGAGATGAACAAAATAACTGAAAATATTCGGAAGATGCATCCTTAACATGACAACTCAAATTCCAGACTAGGTCTGTCAGTTCACTATCCAGGAACAGGGCTCTTTTGGTTCTGTGACTAACCAGTGCCATCTGCTGGAAATTAAATGTTTGTCAGAATCGTTTTTGGATTTAAATGAGGCAAGGTACAGTAGATCACTTGCAGTACCTTTCTATACAGCAGTGTCCTTTGTGAATTGTGAAGCCGAAGAGTACTCTAAAAGACTGTACAGAAGTGAGCTAAATAAACATTTAAGAATCAAATCTGCTTGTCAACAATTCCACTCATAATTTAGAATTAGTCTTCAGAGTGTTTGTTTTGCATCTGTTTTACCTACCCATGCAAAATCTAGTGATAGTTATAACTGAGGATTTCAGAGTAGTTCATTACACTTATGACTGTCCTAGAAATGGACCTGTGATGTGCTTTGTGACTGAGTTACGCATGCAGCACTGAGCACAGTGTTTTGTTGTGTGAATGTATATAAAAAAGAACCCTAATCATCTCCCCTTTCCCCCCAGGTTGTGGGAATCTTTGCAGGCTTTGGCCTGCTCCTGTTGGTGGCGTCTCCATTCCTACTCCTTGCCACGCCATTCGTCCTCTGCTGCAAATGTAAATGCAGCAAAGGAGACGATGACCCACTGCCTACTTAAGAGAGTGCCAGACGGCAGTAAATCAATTATTTTTTTTTGTGTTCAGAGCGCTTTCTTTCTAGTTCAACGGCACTGTCCTGGGTTTATCTGAACCATCCTGCTTTTCAGTGTTGTTCTGGCGCCCTGAGTCTTGGGAGACCACGGAGCTGTCATAGACACCCCCCTCTCCCCCACCCCCACGCTGAGGGAGTCGGTGTGAAGGTAGGGCCGCACCGAGGCCATGCAGCTGCGCTGTGGTCTGCAAGGCCGGTACTATGGCCGTGGCCCTTCAGATGAGGCAATGCCTGTTGCAAGAGAAGCACAGATAGCTAGTTGTTTTCAAGCTGAGGGGGTGCAAAACAATTTCATCTTTTTCAAAACAATGCCATCGCTGTTCAATTAAATAGATTTCTGGGCATTCTGTCATGTTGTATTGTGTTCAAATGTCATATTTTTCCATGTAAAGCCTAGAATTTCTGAATCTTGGTCTGTGATCTAACCCATCAAAACAACACTACATCTATACAGAAAGCGTGCTACACTGTTCATTGATATGCAAGCCATTTTATTCCCTTCACCAGCGCTATTCACAAATTTGGGAATTTTGTTGCTTGAACACTCTTAACCCTTTACTCTGGGGATGTGGTTTAGTGTCTTTTTCAGTTTTAATTATTATGCTTAGTCTGCTTGATGCCTGCTGGTGCTCACTGCCTTTTCAATAACGCATTACAAATTCAATGAGCAAAACCAAGAGTCAACTCTCTGTGAAACCTAACCCGTCAGTAATTCTGGCCAACACATTGTGTTTTTTCTTAAGTTCAAATGAACTACTTCCAAAATAACTGCTTCAGTGTTTTTCTGCGACAACTATTTTGTACAATTTATTTTGATAGAATTTCACATAGAGAAATAAGATTTGTTGTTTTCATTGATAGCATTAATAGCATTTAAAGTACAGCTTCATTCTGAAGGCATTGAATAAATCCCTCAGAGGAAAGGGAAAATGCACACCACCAAATTGCCATGGAGGTTTCTAAGCCATTAGTGAAGAGCAGATTTGCACTGGAGAACAAAGCATAGGGAATATTGGTGACTATGAAGCAACAGTGCAACACCTTGGTGTACCACCTACACACACAAACCCCTCATCACGGTTCATCTCATCTTCAGATACACGATGTAGAATTTATGACAGTTCTCTGACACAGGGCTAAATTGTTGTAAATAACTTCCTACTTTTTAATTTCCTGCAGATATATTTGCCATTGAACTCAGTAATTTGTGTTGGAATTAAATGTACAGAACTGTTTACTAGGGTCCTTATTTGAAAAACAAAAAACACATGAGAAACATAACTGAAGTCATATCAGAATAGGGAAGAATTTTGAATGGTTAAGTATACCAGTGTATTTGACTATTCAAATAAATTCCTTTTTTTACCCTCTTTAGTTTCACAGAATAATTACCACTTTACACAGAGTGGTCCATCTTGCTTTTAATGGTGAAGTTTTATTTAAAAAAAAATTGGAATCGTATCATTTGATATTTGACTGCTGAAAATTACTCTTTAATTGGAGACAGCTAAATAAATCATTTTGTAAGGTGGTTTGTGTTCTGTTATAAAAATAGCATCTAATTCTGTGTGGGTTAATTTAGACACGGGTTTTAAAAAAGTAAGAATTCTTAGATTTGTTTCCCAAAAACATTTCTAAACTAAAATGACTGTTCGTGTTACTGTAAACTATGTTAAATGGCATATTGGGACCAAGTCAAAGATAAAATTAACAATAGATGCAATTCAGAATTAATTCAGTTAAATCAGGTTTTGTTGGCATAAATTATATGCAAAACTATGCGCATACCTTTGAACAGGTTATACGATACTTGATAGAAAAAGCAACAGCGGAATCTTGCTCCTTCCCACCTCAGATTCTAGTGACTTGCTGTATCAAATCTGATCTAAATGACCTTGGTCTTAGCCAACGGAGACTTTCGCTCACCTACTGTGTAAAATGTCCATGGCTGCAGCTCTCCTGGATCATGACAGTCGTTTATTTAGAAGTATTTATCAATATTTAATTTAGTCTTTAGCTCACGGAAACTTGTTTGGCAAATACTGAAGGCACTACCCCATGTAAGGACAAACATATTCTTCTTATATACAGTATATACTGAAATGCTGTGCAGTGATACTGTTTGTGTATACTGATGTTGCAAAAGACCACTGAAGAACAAAATTAAAATGGAAGCAGGGATAGAGAATGCATAGAAGTGCATAAACACTTTTACCATCTTAATATGATTGATGATTTCATTGCAAATCAGTTGTTTGGAGTTATTGTTGAACCTTAGCTTCCGTCCCAAAATTGCTTGATGAGATCTTGGATCACTTAACCGTTCTCATTTGTAACTGTTTTTCTGAGTTTCAATAAGATGACTGCAGCTGAGTCTTGAAGGAGAATTGTTCAAGACTCCTGTATCCTACAAATAGAAACACTTTATGAGTGTTTTAAACAGCCAATGTGTTGGTTTGTAGTTTGAATATAGCCTTGTAGCTTAAATCTTGCTGGTTTAAAAAAAATATTCTGGATTTTGACATTTTAGAAATGTAATGGAAATCCTGCATGTCTCAGTGCACCTTTAAAGCTATACTTTCCTCTTCATGGTTGATTTTCTAGTGCATTTTGAAGTGTATGTCACTTCAAGGGTGTGGCACAGTGGAACATTTCTGTGCTGGAGCCTGGGTTTAATTCTACACTCCTAAGACATACTGACAGGTTAAATGGCTTCAGGGAAAATTGGCCCTGGTGTGAGTGTGTGCATGTTTGTATCTGTATCTGCCCTGTGATGGACTGGTGTACGTCGTCATGACCTCTTAGGATTTATTAGGAGTTATTTCTGTATATATATATTTTTTGTGAGAAAAGGCAGTACCAGAAATAGAACTAATTTAGAGCTCTGTTTTATAGATTGCAAGTTTCAGTCTAGGCTATGCAATGAGAAGCTGTGTGAGAAGCTCTGTGGCCGAGGAGTAGCAGAACGCAGCACGCCAGGTGACACAGCTGACATTGCGGAACCTTGTGCGTCATAGGATTTGAACAGGATTCCTAGACATGCCATGTAGCAGAGTCCACACACAGTGTGTTTTGCTGTGTGTGAACTTACACTGCTGTCAAGAAGAGCTGTTAGTTCCTTAATTTGATGCTAACTGCCTTACAGTGGGACTCACAAAAAGAATAAGACACAAATGGCTCCTGCTCCTTGACACAAATGTTGGAGAGCCTAAGAACTTTTGCAGACTGAAATAGGCCATGTAACTCGTTTGATTTTTAGAAGCTAAGTGATCTGAATATGTCGACCAGGTGTTTCTTGAAGGAAGCCTGCATATCAGCTTGAAAAATATTGCTGGGTAATGTGTTCCACCAACACTTTCTGTTTTGTGCACTCCTGTTACAGTTTCAAAGGAATGGTCTGATGTGCACTAGGTGAAGGCTTGTATGTTCCTCACTTATCCCACTGCTTGTGTCAAGACTATGGCAGTGATGTTGAGCTAACTCAAATTGACACTGGCAATTTCAAATTCAGAGGAAGTTCAAAATATTAGGTGACGTCAAATTACAGATGGGGAAAAAATGAATGTCCTCTGAATATTGGTTTGTAAAAATATTCACCAAGAAATGGAAATACACAAGCTGTTAATCAAAAGATACTTACAGAATCCCTTTCTTTTCTGGTAATTGTAGTTGGAGTTGCTCTTTTGAATCAATGTCTTACATGTCTGATTTTTATGCCAATCAAATATTTAGGCTTACCTAAACCACTGCATAGCTTCCAAGGTGTGAATAGATAAAACGCTGGAAGCAATCTGGCTCAAGATGGTTAACATGTATGTTTCACAGTTATTGATCTGTATATAATTTTGTAAATACTTTGGTGTCTGTAAGAGACCAGTTATTTTCATCTAAATGTTCTACAGTCCTCCAATATTGGTTAAATACACCTGTGACATGAGCATAAATGTGCATATATTTATGCTTACAGACCTTGCCTGAACTATTGGGTATTTTATCTTCATGTTCCAATATGCCCTTTAAGCTTCATCACAAAATCTATGCACATTTGTACAGACTTGCAGAATAATATCTGATGCCTGATACTGGAGACATTATGGAAACTCTTGTGTTTCTAGACTTCATAAAGCATAGGTTTACATATAATTGACATTTTACATATCAGGGACAAGGATCATAATTTCAGTTTAGAGTTTAATCAGGTTAAATATCTTGGCTTCTGTTAGTCTAGAAAAATCCAAAGAAACAGAGCCTAAAGTGAATTGTGCCTGAGATGAAACCTTTTTTTTTAAATGTAATTACTTTTTTTAATGGAATATGTAGCACCCATCAGGGACATCTTTTTAGTGTACTGTAGATTCATCAGTACACGTGGCAGTGCACAGGTGACTTGGAAATTGATTGACATGATATTTAGCATTATTGAATACCTTTACATGTTTAAGAAACGTATCCAAGACCAGCTGATCATATAAAACCATCAGTGTATACTGTATAACATCCAGTGTGATTTGCTGATCTTTGATCTAATTTTAGAGATGGGAGCTACTGTACATGTCATTTTGAGGATTCTTAGCAAAAAATTAACAGTTTGCATGGTGAGTGAAAATTATGGCTTTTGTGTGTGAAAAACCTGTATTCAGACTGAAAATATTGTACAGTCCAATGCATTGTTTCCTTTTTATTTTTACAGTTATATTAATAAAGTGATATTTTTTATTAAATTACCTATATAATTAATTATCTCCAAATACATTTACAGACCTTTTAATGAACTGCTAAATCGGTTATTTACTGTCCATACTCTTCTCTTGTTATTATTGTTCTCATTAACATAAAAGGTCCCTAGAGATGTTACTTGCTAATGAAACTGTTGCATTTTTTACAGTGAAGCTGCTTCAACATTGTTAGTTTTCTAGCTTAGTAAAATTGTTTTATGAACATTGAAACTTTATTTTTTTATAAAAATGTTTGTTTACCAGTATTTACATCATCCATTTTTCACCGTGCACTGACTTGTGTCTACATTGTCCTTTATAATGATATAGGATCTCCTGTCTGGGATGCAAAAACAAATGTAGACCTCAGACCCTTGTGTAATATGATGAAAAGACTTGTTCTAATCTAGTTTAAATTACAGTTAGAACTGAACATTCCTTATGTGGTATGCCATCAAACATTTTGGCTGTGTTAGATTGGAAAACTGTGATAAAGGTTTATACATTTTGAAAGATTTAAAACCCACATATTTGGTTAATAGTTTATACTGTTTATTTGTTTTTTACCCCAGGAATGTTATAATGAAGTGCACTGCTCTTGAACACTACGAAGGTTTAAGGGTATAGTGATCATTAAGCAGAGATGTTTCTGGTTTTATTCTCTTTCTTGGATCAAAATGTGAGGAAGTCATCCAGTCAGCCATTGACATGCCATGAATAATGCACTGCACTAGGATTTACACTGTAGCCATCTGCATACATATAATAATGTAGGCCTTAACTTTCAGGTACCTCATTTGCAAATGTTAAGCATATAAACTCCTTCCTGTAGCATCTAACAATATTTTGTAATTGAGCTACAAGAACTTGTTTGTTATATGTGTGTCACTCTTTGCACTTTGTTGCTTTTGCAAATTTGTTATACACACAGTTTTTTAGGCGCTTTAAATTGTTTAGTGTTATTTAATGCAGGTGAAAGATACCTAACGTCTGTGTTTGTGCCATGTATACAGCTGGTTTCTTACATCTAACGAAGATAGTGGGGATTAACTTTCCCACTTTAGAATGATTTGTTTATGTGCTACGTCTGTAATGTTTACTTTTTTTTATTTAATGGTCTGAAAATCAGAAAATTGTACTACAATTAAATTTAAACATTGTGGTGTGTGGAATCTACAGGTATGTCAATTTCACATGTACATTTTGTTTTATTTCCTTGTTGGTATTTTATTAATGGACATATACAGGGGCTTCTTAAAACATCTTAATTTTCCCGGTTCCTGTTCTGTAAACTCAAAATAGATTCCATTGACCAGCTTGCATTGTCTCAGTGCGAAAATTTGCAAACATAGCTCAGACATGGCCTCAGTTCTGCCTTATGCCAGTTATAATTTTGTCAGACTTTCTATACCTGTATAGGCATTGTTTGATTCTGTCAACTGCAATTTAGAAACAGCTTTAGGCAAAATATATATTTTATAACAGTAAGCCTGCTTATTCATTATTATTATTGAACGGATAATATTGAACTATCATTAAGATTTATTAAATAGCTCATTCAGCTGAGGGAACAGCTGAGATGGGTGGATTCCTAAAGTTCCTAATTTGAATAATTAAATAATTGGGTTTCATAGTTTATATTTTATCCATTGATCAAGTTCTGTGAGACAGAATAACACCTTTTTTTCCTTGAAGGAATTTGAATACATATAATAAGCTGTTTTGATCTATAAACTAGTATATTGTGATTGTGTTGTGCCACAGATGCAATTTGAGTTTACAAAATAAAAATTGCTCATCTGTCACTCAGTAATAAGTCTGATTAAGTTTTGTAGTTTGACGCTGGGGATAAACTATTAACAGTGTTGTTTCTTAAACTGGAACAAGGAGAAAAGAGATGTTGAATTAATTCAGATTTTACATATGCAAACATATCAAAATTAAAGTGGATTTTGCAGAGCATCATTCGAGATTAGGAGGTATAACCATAAACTGGTATACATTTTGTTTTCCATTTACACCAAAACTAACATGTTTTGTTTCTGATTCATGAAAAACCTTAATGTATACTGCAAGCTGCCTAGGCTTTGTGTATCAGTTACATGACTATTTCTTGATATGTGAGATTTCAGAACCACATTTTTTGTAAAAGCAACATCTCCTGAAACAAGTGCATAATGGTATTTTAGGCTGCCAGGCCCACACAATGTAAACCTTGGAATTTACAATGTACTCAGAAAGCAATGTAAATTATCCTAAAAGTTAATTTGCCTTTGATGTATGCCATCATTTTTAAACTTTTATTATGTTGTTGTTTTTATAGAAAATAATTGTATTTCTATTTGCTGTATATGGAACAGAGTTATAAATGTGCAATTATAACCTTGTATATTGGCATGCATCAGTAGTCTTGTACATAGCAAACTTTAGTTTGTTTCCCTTAAATGTATTTAAGTGTTCTATAGTGCCCCTAACACTGTGATATTAAATAAAAACAAGCATTGTGTGTCTGTATTGAGTTTTTTTACATATCACACACACACACACGTGTTCCAGCAGAGACAGTGAACATTTAAACGTACAAATGTTTGCGTGTTGTTTGTTTAATCAGATTGTGTTTATAGTTTTGACAGAGAGGATGATGAGATCACATTTTAGGAGCAGTTACTGCAGGAATATAATTAATTCCAAAGGGTTCACAAACGTTTTCTCACGTCTGTATGCGTTGATCAAATACGCTGAATAGTGGATTAAACTGAACATCTAATTGAACAGTTTGGCTACCTTTAAGAGGTGTTAAATGCCTAAAAGAAGTTAAAATGTTATGACTGTTATGTTCATGCATTACCTTATAAATTATAATCGTTTATGTAAGTTGTTTGCTCACAACTCATAATAAAACAGTTCAAAAGGGCATGGGACAGGAGCTATAATAAGATTTCCATATTTTATTAGCTTTGAACTTATAAAATCAAATTTTTACTATGCACAGTATTTTCTTCTGTCTGTACAGTATATACTGTAGGCTTAAGGTTATGTATAGTAAGTAGCTACAGTAAATAATGGGTCTTTACAGACTGGAGCTTGTGGAAATTATGGAAATCTAAATGATAAACAGTTTCTTAGTATGAAAAAATGACTACAGACATACACATGAGGAGTGTACTGTATATATAATGTTGCCCCTTTTTAATATTATGTGGTTTTTTCATACCGTAATTCTATTTTTTTTCTCTGTGTATACCCACGTGCAAAAGCAATTTTACTGATTGCAAAATAAGAAGGGTATTCATGCATCAATCCTGCCCTCTAGTGTCGACAATAAGAGATATTGATATTTTATTGAATTGGATGATTGATACGGTATGTAGAAATTGCACTTTATTTATAACCTAAAAATTCAGAAAAAACCATTAACAGCGTGCCCCTGAGCTTTTATATTGTTAAATTCAAAATGTATTGAAGTATTAGAACATTTATGTTTCTAGAAGATATAAATCACAAAAAGTAAGTTTTATTGTGGATGCATTGTTGAGAGATAAATATAAAACAAGTTTTAAGGGAAACACTACTATATTTTTTATCAAAGTGACACCTAGCATTAATAATGCTATGTCATTTTAAAGCAGCTAATCCAAATTCTGCAATATTTCAGTTCATTTACTCTTCAAACACAGTTCAACATAGATTCTATGCCATGTTTTAGGATTTTTTCTAAAAATACTGCTTAATTTAATTCTATGCAGAACTTTAGTAATAATTCTTCATTTGGAGAAATCCAGAGTGTGTTTATGGATTGTTATGGAGAAATGGGGAACACGAATGAAGACTTGTGTTCCCCATTTCCCCATCAAATTAAACTGATCTTTTAATTTAATTTTTCATATCTTGTCTACCGCGAATAGATGGCCTGACAAATAAAATCAAGGGCACCAAAACAGCCTTATAAAAAGAGCAGAAAACATAACATGACTCAGCAAATCCATGAACCAAAAAAAGGCTGAATGTTTTATCTGTAATTTACTGATAGCTACAGGCTGCCTGTAGAAGCAAATAGAAGGCATAACCCCTATTATATATTCTAAGTTCATTCTTTCATCAAAATGAGGCTTTCGTGAAGCAGTGCTTAAGCTATGTTCACCTTTAAATATCAGCTGTCAATCTTTCCAAGATACCAAAAGAATTGAGTGACATCAAAATAGGTTCCTTTGTGGGTTTTTTTTTCCTTTGGGGAATATACATGTATGTTAGTTCAAATGCTAAATATGTCTAGTTTCCTTGGAAACCATGTAGTATCTGTGGTATGTGACATTTTGATAATGGAGATCTACCTATCCTTTTGTATGTGATAATTGAAAATGATTTTGCATCTCAAAAGCTTTTATAATAAGATGATCTTTTAAATGATATACTGTACATGCATCTGTGTTGTGCTTCTATTGATTTTTTGGACACAATTCAACAGTTTTAACACTAATTCACAAAGTTCAAGGTTATTTAGCAACAGAGCTTTCTGGGTGCACTGCACTGCATTTTCATTTCACTATCTGTTGTGATACATACAAGAAAAGCAACAAAGAACAGTACTACGGCTGCTGTTGTATTACATTCATTATAGGCTGCGTACAAAAAAGTTTGATGTTCCTTTCTGTAATAAATCCAAACCTTTTACGACATGCCTTAAGCAGGGTTTTGTCTGTTGTCTTCCAAAACAAAATTTAAAGTAACAAATAAATAAAAGTTTATTCCGATCATTCTTCATCCTTCTCCAGACAGGTTTGTGCTGTATGCTTGGTCAAATCAAGAACCTCTTTTTCATTTGACAAACATTCTTCTGTCTAGTTTCGTGGGACAGACTAGAAATGACTAGCACTTAGTAACACAACATCAGTTCTCAACCCATCCAATCTTTTTGTTATTTAAATCTGCAACTCTGATAAACATGTGGACACCTGTGTGTTCATTTTTTAAGTCAGTGAGATGCGGCAGAGACGTTTTTTATTAATTTATTTGCAGGCAGATGTTGTGCTAGGGAAAAGGAGACAAGCTTCAAATAAAAATGTATATGAAAAAGAAGGGTCTAATGATGTATCACGTCCCACCAGCTGCTCTTGGTTCAAGGAGTTGAGTCAATCAGATAGTTCAGCTGGAAACTTCTGTTGCTAAGAAAGCCCATCAGCAACTAAGACGGTGACAGAGTTCATAATACATGGGTCTGGAAAAATTAAATAAAGTGCTAAACAGTAAATGCCAGAATGAGCCACTCGCACCGGCAAGTTCATGGTTTACAGTTTCTGACATCAAACATGTGCAATAGTTTCCTCTGGGTATAATGTCCTTGTATTATACTTGCTGTAGAAGATGTTATGCTCTGTCTTTGAAAAACAAATATAGCTTAGTTCAGTTTTAAATCTTTAACACATTATAATTTGGTAAGAGTCTGTAAATTGCCAAAAACCCAGTAATGCTATAGCATAATACTGTTTCTCTCCTGAACAAGGAGAGCTATGTATTCTACAACATTAATTTTCTAGTAAGAACATAAGAAGGTTAAAAATAAGATAAGACCATGTGAACCATACATCTTTTGTGGCATTTAATTAATAACTAGTTGGACCAAGGATCTCTTCCAGTCATGTCTTGAAAGAAGGGTATCAACTTCAACATTATGATCCTTACTCCCTCAGCACTGTGTAAAGATGTGCCTTTTTCCTCAGTTTCCAAATACATTTCCATGTATTGTACTATAGTTTCTACTTGTGTCCTCAGTGGTCATTCTGAAGAATGAGCATTGAGAATTTTGAATACTTGGGTCAGGACCCTTTTAGTAAATATATATATATAAATTGGTTCAAGGCAAGGACTAATTAATAGTTGATCTTTTTCAGTTTTTAACAGTTCAGTGGCAAAACAATCTCTTCTGTTGGAAATCAGGTTTTGTTTGTAGTGTCCATTCTCAAATTAGACTGTTGTCATTACATTGGTTGGTATCTCTGATAGAACAGGACCTCTTAAAGCTGTATAGCCTTATATGTTATTTAAATCTTATATTTTAGAAGTCACTGTTATACATCACACAAGAAATGTGAGATTAAAAGATTCAAAACAAATCAAGCACTACCTTTGAGGACGAAACACATGATATGAAAAAGATACATTTCATGCTGAAATATTTCTGGTATCAAAAACATAAAAACTTCTCGTTAGCTTTCTGAATCTGGAGGTTTTTCAGACTCGAAATCGTCTACATAAATCCTCCTTCGCTGAATTTGAACAAAGATACGTCTAAGGAACAGCTGCATAAGTTGAAACTGTGATGATACGCTTTTGGAATTTTTTTGCAATCTTTGTACCTTTTGATGGATATGCCATGAAATGTATGAAAGAGATTAGACACTGTAAATGTCGTGCAGGTGCACCCCAGCTGTTTTCCTAAGCACTAGAACATATTTCCTGAACTCGGATTGCTTAGGAAACGCAGCTGAAGGCTTTAGCTGACACTGGCTTTAAGGCAGGCATTCCGCTAAGGCAGGTGGCCGTAGAACAGGATGCAGAAGCCAAGGCCTGATAATGAGTTGCTTCAACTTATATCAGTAACAAATATAACAGGAAAATGGAGATAAAAATGGATTATTTTTCAGAGGTTTTACTTTATTTGATCTCTTTCATAGTACAGGACAGCACTGAGTTCAGGTTTCGTTGTCTCTTGAGAGTCAAACGGATGGATTTACAATGGTTTTTCTAACACCCATTCAGAAGTTACCATACTTTATTACATAATTTTAAACTCTGTAATTTTTTTCATCTATGTTCCAGTGTGCTGTTTAAAAACATTCTGTTCTAAAATTTTTTTAGAAAAAAATTCTAATGTATTATGTTGAGTTTTAAAGGTGAACTAAGATTTCAAACACAAAAGTGTATAGATGACACTCTATATAATCTGACACTGGAAATTACACTGCAATAGCCAGTCCTTTATGTTATATTTAAACAATGTTCTTCAGCTGTTTATAATTTATTTGTTGGTATTTTGTAACTGCCCCAAGATTTTTTGTGTTTGCCTGCTAATTGAAAGTACAGGCGTGCTTAACTGTGTGTGATGTTAAGAGTGGGGTTAAAAAGCTTAACAATTTAGCAAACTGTTTGATTGGAGAACATTATTTCTGTGACTCCTTTAATGGGAGGCACCTGGAAATCATGTGGAAGGGGATGATAAAGACCTTAATTGTCTTGTTTTTCAAAGTGCTACAAAATGTTCTGAGCACCCTTCTCTTTCATATTGGTTTTGATGGTAACTGGTAGAGACCTTTTCCTGTGTGATGTACAATTCGACTGTAAATAGAAAAGGTAAAAAATCTGTATAATAACATTTTATTAAATATAGAACATTATGTTTCAATTTTCATCATGTTTCATGTTTCAAGTTGAAAAAAATCAATTGGAAATCAATTCAATTGAAATGTTGAATTTTTCAATATTTGTATCTGTTTGCTCAATAAAA